TATCATGCAATATAGATAGACATCTGCCAACAGGATAACCGCAGTGCATGAGTAAGAGGTGGTATAGCCATTTACGAACAGGAAAGTTGCAGCGCACAGTATACAGGATGTTCATAATATTACTCTAGTTTAAAGCCAGTAATGTTTCCTTGTTAACTATATCAAACAAAATAAAATGTTTCTATGTAAACTGTAAGAAACCGAAGTTAGATAAAAATATATATATATATATATATATATATATATATATATATATATATATATATATTTCTTCATATCATATTAAGATCAACATATTAAACAATATACGGCAGTATTCTGAAGGTTTTTCAAAGTTGGTAACCTGCACTTTTTATGAAAGTAATATGCTTTAGATCTTGTATATTGAAATTTGTAGACAAGTGAATACAAATCAACTTTTATTAGAAACAAAATCATCGGAAATTTTGAAAAATCATACTAACAGTGCTAAGTGGTTTAGAAAGTGATTTTTTGTAATTGAAACTCGAAACGTCTTCTGTTCAAACAAAATTTATTTTGTATGACACAATTCGACTTAATACATGTCTGATAATATGTGCACTGGAAACAGAACGATCTCGTAACCATTTCAAGTGGCTCTTGAGGTTTTATGTACGTTACATGTCGAGCGAACTTGCTAGAATTAGTACTTGAAATTTCTGAATTTTGTTACCAGTTATGTCAAGGTTATGCCAAGGTTATCTTTTTTTGTATAAACTATTTTTATATTAACAGTTATATAACCTTTTATATAAAAATAGTCTGAAGTCGACTACTTCTGAACATTTTTGGGAGACCTTCCTCAAAGTTTAAATTGTTAAAAGTTTGGACTCTCTCTCTCTCTGTTAGTCATTATGTAATAAACAAATCTCTTTATATTATCTAAACAAAATTCAAGTCATTTAACCAAGTTCTAAAAAAGTTATTGCATTTTAAAAGATGTACGAACACTTTTGCGGGTCACTGTGTATGTATTAAAAAGTACTTAAAACTAGATTGACATACAAAACCATCGCTAAAAGTTTTTTTCTGATATTCTATAATTTTAATTTATAATACACGTTTAATTCTACTCCGAATTTTACGATTTTATCTTTAGAACGCTATATCTTATCACATCATCACCTAAAATGAACAACATTTCGAATTTGAAAACTTTGAAGAATTATCAGTTTGTAGTAAAAAATATTGTTCCATATGTTGATACTCGGACGGCTGGTCTAGAATAAATATTTTTGTTCATCTATTTAGTTTCTGGTAATCAATTTCAATTTTTATATGTTTCATTAAGCTTTTTAGAAAAATTAACGTCTCTATAAGGAGTACCTTGAAAAATATGTTATAAAAAAATTGTTAAATAAAGTTATAAATGATCCTAAACATACACATTTATATGTTTCTTTATAAGAAAGGTCAGTCGTTAGAATATATAAACTTGAACTACCGCATCACCTATAATTACTAAGTGACGAAATTATTTGGCCATATTAGAAGATCAATTTTTACATCAGTCTACTACGTTTTCTTAATTTTATTAGGATCTGCAAGACGTAAGAATGTTGAGAAAGTATGTGATGCAACTTAACTTTTCAATTTCAATTTGATTAAATACATCACTGTAAATTTATGAAATTTTTGAGGTTGCCGACGCAGTCAAAATGTTGTAGGGTGCACTTGTCAAAGTTACATATCAACGACGCTTCTACTACTCCGTGTATGTTTGATTTTCTTTATATCTTGTTTAAATCCGTAAAGAATATTAAAATATATTCTTCTTAACCAGTTAGCAGATTTTGCGGAACATATTCGTCATAAATAGATGGCGACATTTTGTATTCTGACAAGTATACTTATGGCTTACGGGTTAAATTAGAATCCTCACGTGACAAGAAGGGACCTTTGTGTCTATATTCCCCCTCTTGTTAACTGCCCCACTGCCGCAGCTAGTAAGAGGGGGAATGTGAGCACAAGAGTGCCTTCTTCTCGCGTGAGGTCTATAGACTGTTAAATGTAACATTTGATGCAACGATTGACATAATACATTTGAAACTTATGAAACGTGTCACAGATTCATATTTGGTCATAACGTTCTCATTTCTCGATTGTGTTATATTCGTTGTCAGTTCGATTTTATCGTGATCGATTTTGTACAAGATTTAATAATCAATAATTAGTTTGTACGTATGTCTGTGGGTTTTTGTCAGAAAGATTCGCTGTTCGAGTGTCAAACTTGAAAAAAATCGAACGTTGATCACAAAAGAACAGGTTTCTAGATGACTGTGCAACTATAATATCGAAATATCGATAACTATCGATACATCTTCCATGATGATTTCTACCTGATTTTCGCATAAAGCATGGGGCATATCTACGATTCATTTCACGTCTTTTAAAAGTCTTTAGACGAAACGGCAGTAGTGATGCAAGTAGTGGTGCTAACTGATGGCAGAAGTTGGCCAGAGGGGCCAGCCCGTTGGTAGGGTCAATATGAGAAGTGGAGACACTCCAGAGGTCAGGAAGAGCAAAGAGCCAGCTCGCCCTCGACTCCGTTCTATGAGACCCTCCTCGTTTGTCTACCTCAGGCGTCAGGCGACCTAGTTGTGCTCCATTGTACCTATAACGGCGATGCTTCAAATCCCCTGTGTACCTGACGTAAGAGGATTCACAGTACCTGAAAATCACCATGTCGCCGCAATCACGACCTTATTACCCTTTTAAATCTCGTGCATCTGCGCGATCTGTGCATTGGGAAGCGACTTCTGCTCCTTTGGCTCCCACCAAAATGGGACCATTCCGATTGCGATGGGATCCCAAACTAAACGATCAAAATAATATTATGCTGACAGAGTCTACGAATAGAAATTTCGACTCTGAAATGCCTGACGGGTCGCGGAAGAATTCATCTGCCATGACACGTATCATAATAAAACATTCAAAAATCTCTCACTCATATTTATTGTTAGAACTGAAGCTCTGTGCATAATTATATAAAAGTAATATAAAGTAAATATTATTATAATTATATAAAGTAATAAAAAAGAAGTAACTTTTACATTACTATTAATATCTATAAACGAAAATTTATCTATATCAAATATAAATTTTACCAACATAGTTTGTTTGTGGTTTTTGTTTAAATATCGGTAAAAATATAAAAGTTATTTCGAGTCTATAATTATTCACACGCCCCTCTGTAAATCCGTAAAATCTGCTATCTAATAATGGATTTATGTTTCGTTTGAATATATATTTGCAGAAATAAAATTTCGTTGGCCAGTTATACTTCAAACCGAAGTAGGATCATGTACATTACCCTTTTTTTGATATGGCAAGTAAGAAAGTACGTATCGAAAGTACATATTAAAAGTACATATTGAGCTATAAGTGCTAGTCATTTATACAATTACCTTATCCATTCATTGTATTTTGTTCATTTAAAACGTATTAAAACGATTCCCGATATGTTTTCTTAATATGTAAAATATGCTACGAAAACTACTAAAACTGATTCCGAAATTAATCCAAGTGGCAATTAAAAAACGCAGTAGATATATCGATGAAAGGAACATTTAATTTTCTTCTATAAAATTGACGTTATTTTTATCACAATGTAAAATATATGTATATATGAACTTGTTACCGTTTAATATAATTAACATTCAAATAAATTAAAAAAATTATAACAATTTCCTATCGGATTTTCATATTTATTGAATATACTTCGTGCAGCTTTCAAATATTTAACAACGTAAGACAACGAAATTGAAATACAATAATTTAGAGATATCTGTAGCGCTGTCTAAATGCTAATCACTAAATTAAGTTCCGATTGACAGATATATGATCATGAATTGCTCGAACACTGATACGAGCTACATATAGTACACGATCGAGATTTCTATACTCCCTACAGCCCGACACTGTGGTAATGAGTGCTATCCTACATTTGTAACCCCGTGAAATCTCCTTTAGGCGCTGAATGAACAAGAGGCTAGATGTAGCGCAGAATAATCGATCAAAATATTGTGCCAGATCGTTCTAATCTTGTAGAATATACATGGTCGAATAGTTCTTCTTCTATTAAGCAGGACAAATATTTATGTATTTATTTATTCTTGCTATATGAATAAAAGAAGAAAAAGAAAAATTGAAAAACATGTATCTTCTAATTCGAGTTTATATGAAAATTAATTGAATCGTAATAATCAATGATTTCGTAATAATAAAAATATTAACATTTTAAAATATCATTTAAATAAATGTTAAACACACAATCAAAAACATGTTTGTTCCTGTATAGTGGTCTAGTTTTCAAATATATTTAGAGAGATTTTTACCCCTCCCCCTTTTTTAACAATTTCGACATATTTTATCGTAAAGAATTTGTATGAATGTATTTCCATAAGCAAATTCTCAAAACTTAGTGGACTACTCAGCATCACTAAAAAGTGGACCACGTCACGTGCCCACAAAAGTGTTCGTACACCTTTTAAAACGCAATAACTCTTTTAAAACTGGACTAAGTGACCTGAATTATTTTTTAAATGATAGCGGAACTAGTCTACCAGACGGTGATCAAAATGCTTTTTTTAAGTTTTGCTATTACTTGGAATGACAAAAGAAAATAAAAAACTTTCGTCTTTTAACTTTTTTCTTCTCTAAATAATTTTAATAGTTTGAAACTAACACAAGAGAGAGTATCACTAGATTCTTCAAATGTTTCAATCAAACATGCAATCGCGTAAAATCTACAGTCTAGTAATAACATATAAATATTAAAATATAACGACATTGTACTACTGAATTCTATTATTGAAACAGATCTATCGTAGCTTTTATTTATTTATAAAAAGACACTTTTTATGCTTACTATTTATGTACCAATAATAAATGTAGATCGTACAGTTTTGTTGAACGTAAATAGAAACCCATTGTCATTATACACGTTGTTGAGGTGTGATCGTAATCTTTTGTTGCAGGAATTTCTGCTTGCTATCGATGTAACATCTAGTGGAACGCCAGAAGAAAAACTGAAATGGGCTTTCCGCATGTATGATGTTGATGGAAATGGTGTCATTGATATACAAGAAATGACAAAAATCGTCCAGGTATTGTATAATTTACATTTACGCATCTCAGAAAAAAATCTAAATTTTTTAAAACAATCATTCTTTCATTGGTATACACCGAGG